GTTAGGGCTAAATAAAGACATCTTAGATATGCAAGAATTCAGGAAATGTGTCCCCTGAACACCTTGAAGGAGTTACTCAAGAAGGGGCTGTAGCAAAGGAATAAAGGAATAAAACAAGAGAGAAGACATGGCATCTAGCAGAGCGTGTCCACAACAGGAGAGCACGATGTCAGGTCTCAGCTGGGTAGCCAGTCCAGGTTGGAGTACGTAGAGGACCGTGGAGCTCCCCAAGAAACGAGGAGAAGTGATGGAGCAGGTGGAATGACTGTGAGAGTGGAAAACATTAAGTTATAGGAAATGCAACTGGTAGCCAGTAAAATGAGAAAACACCAAACCTCACTCCAGGAACGTTCTTCTTTGGCACAGAGATGGTGATATTGGATTATGAATTGTAAAATGCAGTCCTGGCACTGTCCTTGGTTGTGCGATTAACCGTTTTACATAGATGTTTATTGTTTTCAGTTTTTAGAATCAACGTCTAGACATATTGTGGAAGACTTAACTATAGTTACAGAACAGAACTTTTGTCACTATGAAAGGACAGGCACTGTTGGCTGAGACTGGAAAGCAGAAGGGGAGAGGGACTGCAATATCTTCATAAGAGACAGCACCTGTGACTTCTGGATGAAGACAAGGTGTAAGATTGCTCCTTGAAGTTGCCGAGGTCAGCAGAATCGTGATACAACCATGTTGGGGGTTGGAGTGAGGGAAGTGAGGGCTGAGTTCTCACTCTCCATAATAAGAAGACTATTAGGAAATATGGAATGTTGATTGGTAGGTAAATAAACAGTGACAGGCAGAGCTGCCACATTCAGTTGTGTCTGCCTTGCATTGCACCCTTCCAGAGGGCTACAGTCATCTGTTACTGTAAATTTGTTTAGTTATGATGGCAATTTTCTGGCAGATGTCTATAAAATGTCTTGAGGATGGGATGCCTTTCTCTATTTCTCACAAAGCTGGCGGTCCACTAGCACAGAACTGGTCGTATATAGCATTTAGGACTAAAAGCAGAATTCATCGAAAGTGACTGATGCTGGGGCTGGGCTGTGCCAAAGGGGAGAGTCAGGACAGCAGAGAGGAGAAGGGTACAAAGATTGCTGCTGCTTTCACCCTGATCTTATCTGGACTATTTGATATTTTTAAAATCATGTGCACGCATTTCCATAATTAAAAAACTTGAAAGTAATCATTGAAAACAAACACAAGAAGCCCCAGACTGTCTGGCAGCCCCTGGGATGTCCCCAGGTCCCCTTTGCTCGCTACTTCTTTTACTGAGCAAATAAAATGTGGCCAGCGGCTCTGTTAGCGGCCTGCGTGGAAGGCAACCAGCCCCTCACCCCTGAGACCCCTGGAGTGAGGGTGGGGCGCGGCCTTTTGGGACAGGACCCTCTTCTACAGCCTGTTCCTCTAAAAACTCTTGGCTTTTACTCCACTGGTCACCTCCGTGTTTCATTTCCTCCAAAGAAGCACTTGGGCTAATTGTTGCTCGTGGCGGACTTTCTTCTGGAGGTGAGGATGTTTTGGAGACATAGGGTAGGACACAACTTCTTATTCAATAATGAGACATCTCTGTTCCCGGAACCGTAACGCCGCCTCCTCTGCGGGAATGGCTGGCCTGCTCCCACTCCCCTGGGCCGGGACCTGGGCGGTGGCGCTGGAGCTCCTCTCGTCCTCCATGGCTTTCCTGGCTTTGGGCGAGATTCTCAGCCAAGGCTGAGTATAAGAAGCACCTGAGACCCGAAGTGCCCTCAAGACCCGGCCCCATCCTGCCCACAGTCTGATTTGTTCTGTCCCAGGGGAGGCCGGAGTCCGTGGGCCGAAAGGACCCCCAGGTGATCTAATGTGCAGCTCGAATAAGAACCACTGCTCGGCCCTCTCCAGGAGCCAGGGAACTAGTCCCAAACTCCTGTGTTTTACTGTGCAGATAGTTGGACTCTTTTTGTTTTACTCTTTTTTTTTCAGGCCGTGCAACCCTTCAGATAGCAGCCAGGTTGTAAAAGAGCATTCTTTCTCTTCCTCCTCTGTGTATACGCATGTATTCAGGACTTTAAAAGTGGATCATACCACATATATTATTCTGCATTTTGCTTAGATCAACTGACTTTTTTTTACGCCTGTAAGACTGATCTATCTCATTCAAAGACTACATAATATTCCATTATGCTTTACCATTTTCCTATTGATGTTATTTGGGTTTTTCCCTAATATTTTACTATTGCTAACTATGCTACAATGAACATCCAAGTGGGTGTGTGTCCTCAAAACCAATGCAAATATTTCCAAGATGGAATCACCAAGGTCAAAGGATATGTACATTTAAAATTTTTAAATGTGTTGATATGCCATTTAAACGGAGAGCAAAAACGCTCTCCGTTTAAATGGCATATCAACCTACTCTCCCACCAGCAGTTCGTTAAAAGCATCTCCTTCCCTATACTCTTACCAACACCAGATATCATCATCTATCTTTTTACTACTTGCTAAACTGCTAGGCAAAAAATGAAATAAAATAATAAAATAAAACAAGGTGTTGCATTTTTCAGTTTGTATTTCTCTGATTACTAGTGAAGTTGAACATCTTTTGTCTTTTTGTTAGTACTTTGTATTTCTCCTGTGAATAGATTTTTGATGACTATTAGTTTGGAAGATGCAATGCCATCCCCCCTATTTCTCTATTTTTTTCCCTATTATAGTAGGTCTGTAATGTTACTCAGTTAATTCTTCATTTATTCAAAAGAAAGGAGGATAGCAGAGTATTAATAATTCAAAATTTGAGAAAAGCACAATGTAATCTATATTAGAATTTTAAATGTGTTTCTTAAAGAGTGAAGAAATCTTTCTCACTAGTCCCCCAACAGATTACTCCTGACATCGTATTGGCCCAAATTGAATCATCATATGTCATCTATTGAAAAAAAAATGAGTGACAGGACAATGAAATTACTTTATTGATTTGGGCTGCTCTGGGGTCAGAGAGAAGCCCGGCTACCTCTGAAACGCGTGGCTGCCCAACACCTGAATAAAGTGAGGAAGGAAGAGGAGAGTGGCCTTGGCCATTCAACAGTGAGTGAATGATGATCAGCAGTGTGCACCACTGTCCTGTGTATTTGTAGATTTATAAGGTGTATCATTAAGATCCAACTTAAATTAATATGCAAATTCCTCAATTAACCATATAAAAATAACCAGCTTTGAAGTTTGCAACCTGGGAACTTGCATTACAAAGGGAAGATGGTAATATTTCCTGTCATTTGGAAACCTAGGGATATTATTTGTGAGTAAATGACTCAGCCTTGAAAGAAATAAGCTGTGAAGAATTAGCATTCATAATCAATTCCCAAGCTCAAGGGAGATCACAACTGACAATGAGAGACTGTCCCCAACAGGTACCTAAAGCAATGTGACAGGAAGAAGTGCTGTGGGGGTGATCGTCTTAGGGATCTCAACAAGACCATGGCTTTGGTCCTTGGCTCAGTTACAGAGCAGAAAAAGAGAGCCCCCTGCCGAGAGTCCCCATCCTCAACTTGCATCCCCAAAACAGAGGGTATCTGGGGTGGGGGGCATAGATGGAGGGAGCAGGGCACCCTCTTGTTGACATTCTCCAAGAAAGTACTCTGAACAAAATTCTTAGGGTAACAAACACATTAGGAGAACTATTTCTAACAAATTGGAGGTGGTAGTTGAAAGCCTGCTATGCCCACTCCCTGAGATTCTGGTACAGTTGGTGTGAGTGAGGGACATGGGTGGGAGGCTCCGGCACGCAGCCCAGGTGGAGCTACCCAAACCACTCATGCTCACCCCTCCCCTGGACACCCCAAACATACAGATACCAATATTCCAGGGCCTCGCCATGGGTAACTGAAGCCTGGTGCTCAGACCTGGTTTGCCTCTTCCACAGACTCGATTTCTGACCAACACTCTAGCAGAACTGAGTGTGCAGAAATGTTCTTTATTCCAGAAAGTCAGTCCAAATTTATTCACATGCCTGGAAATGTGTCAAAAACATTCTAGAGCTGAAGGAGCCAAGACCTCACGGTGGCCCTACGGCTGTTAATTCATTCCCAGGTTGGGCCTCAGCATCCAGATGTTTCCCACATAGCTAGTCATAGCGGATGGAGCCCTGTTACATTTGGAATTGTCCTCGTCAACATGAGCCAGCTTTAGAGGGCAAGGACGGAGAAGTGAGCAGGAGGAAGGTCATTAGCTTGGTCCTCCACGTCACAGAGATCTGGGCTTCTTTAAAGAATATTGGAATGAACTCCTTTTCTGGAACTCCACTCCCCCATGTGCCCCCACCCCCATATCTTTATATTTTGGGTGTTTGGTATTAGGCTCACTGCGTGACCTGGACTGCAGGCCTGTGCCACTAACACAATCCTAGGAGGCCTATCTTGGTCCCCAACTCTGCCCCACTTGGTTCTCATCCGTCCAGCAGCTTTCCCTCCTGAGATGCAAAAAATAAGAACATTATAGAAGCATAGGATTGTTGTGAAGATTAAGGTAATTGACACAGTGTAGAAAGCATTAACACAACACCTAGAACGTGGGGAGAACCCCATAAAGAGTAATAATCACCAGTATTGGCTTATTAAAAGATGTGGGTTTAGCAACTACTTTGTTCATCTCATTTGAGTAATATACATTTTAATAATAATATACATTTTAATATAATAAAGCTTTATTTATTTAGAAAATGCTCTAATTTTCTTACTCTTCAAACTGGCCTTGTACCCTATTAAATTAAAATTGCTGAGGTTTTTGATATACTGATAACCTAATGGGGTTCACAGTTAGGCACTGACCTCCACTCTCTCCCTGCCTCCTCACATGCTGTAATCAGGGCAGTGTGGCTGGAGTGACCAGCAAGTGACCTTGGACATCTCCCAGTCCTAAGCCCCAGGATCCTGTATCTTCAGTCATTTTTTGGTTGCTCCGAAAGTTGTAGCATGTGTCACAAGCTCGAGTCCATCTCCACTGAACTTGCCTGTCTTTCCCCACAGGCTGTAAAGAGGTTTTTGAAACAAGAGTGCAAGTGTCACGGCGTGAGTGGTTCATGCACTCTGCGGACATGCTGGCTGGCCATGGCCGACTTCAGAAAAACGGGTGATTATCTGTGGAGAAAGTACAACGGGGCCATCCAGGTCGTCATGAACCAGGATGGCACTGGCTTCACTGTGGCTAACAAGAGGTTTAAGAAGCCAACGAAAAACGACCTCGTGTATTTTGAGAATTCTCCAGACTACTGTATCAGGGACCGAGATGCAGGTAAGTTCAAAACACTTCATTCACAGCACCTAATTCTTGCAATGGTCAATACTTCCCCATTTAAATGCAGTTCTGTATTTTCAGCCTGCCAATTTTATAAGTGCATCCTGCTGCTTTCAGGTTCAAAGCTCATGTTCTTATAATTCATGTTTAAAGTACACGAAGAGCTCTTCTAAGATTCTGAGAAATGGGAACCCAACAAGAATGTACATGGCAAAAAGTCAAAATATGCTAATTAGCAAAATCCTTCAGCCTGGACCAAACCTTTCCTGTGATCGTGAAGCTGAGAGGAGCTTCGCAGTGTGTCTTCTCCTTTATGAATCTCACCTCTGTGATTACGGAAGAGGGTCCTAGGGCTTTAAAGTTCGCCTTTCTCGATATCTGCCATACTGCACATTCCCTTACTCTTTCCAATATGCTCAGAAGTTGCCAAATATTAGAAAAGCAAGAATTCATCCCCACTGGTTTGGCTGTTGGTGGGCAGTGGATGAGGGCTGTGTAAGAAGCACTTCATTTATTAAAACCACACGCTTCCCTTGCATGCAACTTTTTCTCCGTCCTGAGCTCGCTAGAGCATCTCCTTCAGCCTCAACACAGCTATTTCCACGTGTGTATCTCATACCTGTGCTATTCTCCACCTCTCACCCCTCCTGGTCAGCACCAAACTCCAGGCTTAGCACAGTCTTTGCAAAGACTGATACAAATGTGAATGAATACAAGTCTCAGTGGATAGGAGGTGATGGGAAACCCACAGCCAATTTTGGCTCAAGCCAACTTCTCAGACTTAGTAGAAAGCAAAGGAATTCATTATCAGAAAAAACATTCTCGAATATAAATTCTGACTTTACTTTTCATTCCAAAGTAATTGCAAAGAATCAATAAAACAATGCAGATGGCAGCCAGCTCCTAACATTAGATCAACCAAGAGACACGATTACAAGAGAATATCACAAGAAGTCCAAAGCCTATTCTTTGTCCCAAGAGGTTGAATTTCCTTCACGGTTGATGAGGTAGTTCTTTGCAGCACTTGAACAGGTTTGTACACGCAGTCTCTGGATTAATAACTACTGAGAGGAAGGGCCAGATTCTGTGCCCTGCTGCATTCCTGACATGCTTTGGGACCTCTAACAAGTCATCCTTTTTGTCGGACCAAAGTTTTGGCAGAACCCCTGTGAAACCTGTGCTTTTTGATACAGGATTGTCTCAGAGGTTTGGGTCCCTTTCTGCCATTAACTAGCTGCTTAAATTAACTTCAGTCTCTTCAGACAGAACATGGAAACGATGATATCAGAATCATTTTAGGAACTACGTATTGACTCCTGTGTGCCAGGTATTGGGCTAAGATCATTGCACACATGGTTTTATTTAATCCTTAGAGCCGCCCTATGATATCAGTGCATTGGAATTGGATACTAGAGGAAAAAAGAGAAGAGGGTGGTTCCTGGTTGATCAATACCAAGCAAGGACCAAATTCGCATCTTATATTTTAAAATCAGATAAGCAGCCCTGGATGTCATCATCCCAGTTGTATGGGCAAGAAAAGTGAATGATCAGCTCAAGATCTCATTGGTCTTAGAGGGGACAGATGTCTGACTGTCTGACCCCATGACCTGTGCTCTTGACCCTTACACTATGACAGTTTGTCCCTGCCTATCTCCCAGAGTATGTATGTGAAGAGGCCTTGTGAAGTAAAAACCTCATTGCAAATGTAAGAGGACCTGCTTCCCTGAAATATCTTTTCTCGTTTTTTTTGGATTGGAGCAGTTTAAACAGTGAAACAAACAATTATGCTTGATGATCCATCATTTAACTGCCTCCTGAATATTCAATGAAATAAAGACCTTACTTTCTCTTCCCACAGAAGAGATTCTGAAACCCCTGATGTACCTTCAGGATACTAAGTTATTCTTGCACACTTTGATTTTTCTACTCCCTGTAGTAGAACACGATTCTGCAGCACCTGCCACGTGTTATGGCTTGACTTACATTCTCTCCTTGGTTTTCATGGGAAGCCTATTGGTGGGTATGTTATTATTTCATTTTATGAGAGAAGAAGCTGAGGCTCTGACAGACAGGTTATGGATTTTGCCCAAAGACTCTCAACTGGTAAGAGGCAGAGCAGGGACTTGAATGTGAGTCCATCCATTCTTTTAATCATTTTACTCTGCCTCCAGAAGTGCCAGCCACAAGGCACACCGCAGCTGGTGTGGGCTTTCTGAGAGAATCTATATAATCTGTTCATGCTCTTAATTTATTTATCTTCTCCCTTAGGCTCATTTAAGCTTATCTGACTTGAGAAGATGTGAATGGTTGGTGTTGATTAACCAGGAGCCACCCTGTTATTCTTTTATTATTTAAGTAACCTGTTCTAATATATTAGATCAGATTTCCACTAAGATTCCTAGATTATTCATAAATTACGTGAACTATATGTAATGCCTTCTTTAGCTGAGCCTAAGAAAATGCAGTCATTCATGCAAACCTTGCAATATATTTTTATTCTGTTGACCATCAGATGATTACTTCAGTGAAAATATGATTCAGAGTATTTGACATCATGTAAGCAGAGAATATTTTTTTTGTTCATATTTGGAGGCATGTACAGATAGCCAGCCACATGTATGAGATGCAGCTTTTCCCTGAGAAAGCCTGTTTCAACCTCACAGGCTTCATACCTGTCTGTATAATTGATGACCACCTATAGACGAGGCTTTATCCTGGCCATAGCATGCACTTTATCAAGTCGGTCAAAACAGTCGTGGAAGTGTGTGGTTCAGAAACATCCTGGAGTAGCTCCTAACTTCTGCTTGTGGAGGCAGGGAGATGGGACAGATCTGCAAGAAGGGGAGATTCCTGCATCTAACTCACACTGGCATTCCTTCTCTGAGCTCTGCTCCCTCCTCTGAAACAAAGGTATTGGGTGGATGCTGACATCCTCTCAGCATGCAGATGTCACTGAAAGAGCACAAAACTGAGGAACCCTTCTCTTACTAGAATCATACTATGTTAGGAACGGCCTGTTTTCTGGTAAATGGAACTCCCACATGTTCGAAATCGGTTACCATCATAGGTATCCAGGCTCTAAAATAAGTCAGAAGTTTGCAGTCAAATTTAAAGCAAATGATGTGTGTATATGTATGTGTGTGTATGTGTGTGTGTGTGTGTGTGTGTGTGTGTGTAATCTTTTTTTCTCTATGAAAATGAACATAACCTTTCCCTGGAGTACATCTTGTACCATCCAATCTGCTTTATTATGCTCATATTGTTTTATTTTTCTTTTTAAAAATATCACACAGATTTAATATTCAACTTATTAGGCACCTGCTACTTACCAGCACTAGAAAAGCGATGGTGGTAGGCAGGTTGAACATTGTCAAGTAATAGATTCTTGGAACTGACTGCCTTTGCTCTTGCTGGTCAGCACCGGTTTCCTGTTCAAGTTAACTTGGATTTGACTGGAGCAAAATGGCTTGTGTTGTCATTTCAATTTGTGGAGTGAACATATCTATAGGTCTAGTCTACTGTTTGCCGAAATGAGGCCCCCTTCAGAGACCTATTGAGTCAAAATCTCAGGGAGTTGTTCCTGAGATTCTGTATGTGTTTCAAACTTAAACACATCAAAATTTGAAAAATCAATGGTTTAGGTAAACCATGAATCCTGATTTTTCTATAAGTATTGGGTAAGAAGAAATCCAGGGAGAAATTATTATTTTGGGTGGTGAGAGGGATATCTGATCTCTTACAAAGAAGTTCTTTATTTGAGGATTTCTAAATAAATGTCACCCCAAAAATATCCCCCACACTGGCTTGCCCAGTATAATAGGGTGTTTCTTCACATTTAAGCCCTGCATTTTCAGAAACCCTTTTTTACTGTAAGCACATTAAAATTATTTCAGCCAGACTCCAGGTGGGGAAGGGTGATGGGAACATTGGGTGAATTCTGCTAAGAGTTAGGCCCTGTGCTACACATCTATATGCATTTTCTCTTAATCTGCACAGCAGTGCCCTCTCTTTAGAGAGAAGGAAACTGAGGCTCTGAAAAGCTACTTAACTTGCCCAAGACTTTGTGGCCTGTAAGTGGTAAACAAAACAAAATAAAACTCAAAAGAGAAATCTATACTTTTCTCACTATACCACTTTACCTTCTGAAATTTGAGAGGGAAGGGGAGATCTGTGTAATAAAGAGGCAGCCTAGGGACGTGGGAACACAATCGGATGATGAGGTATCCACAAAGTGGGAAGGTAGGAAGTGGTTAGGCTCAACTCACCGAGGTTTGGCTCAGGTTACCTTGACACCCCAGTCAATTACAAGCCCTTCAAGGTTTCAAGAGTATTAATGATGTTCATTGTTCCTAAGAAATGATAAGCTCAAAAGGCAATTATGGAAGAAATTCTTATGGCAACAACAACAACAACAAAAGACCTTTTCCCCTAGTCTTCAACTATAAATACTCCCCTCAGATTCAAAGAGTCCATACAACCATGTGATGCCGTGCATATGACATTCTGCAGGCCAAATTGGAGGATAGATCTAGGGAACCAGGCTTTCTGGGATGGGTATTCTGGCAATTTGTGGTTATCTACTCTGGTTATTGCTCCAGGCAGCCATAAATCAAAGAAGCCCTTAAGTTAGAGATAGGTTCATCTCCAGCTAAGGAATGCTGCTGTCCCCTCCAGAGAAGCGTCTGCACCTAATCACAGGCCACTTTCACTGGTTCTGATGTAAAAGCCCTGACCTGGGCCAGAGGTCACCCTGAGGTCTCCTCATCAACTAGAGGAAACAAGCAACTCTCCACCCCTTCTCCAGTCAAGTTCAGAAAACAAACAGTCCAGCGGTTGTTTAACTTGTTGCCTGCAGAAAGCTCAATACCTGGCTGACAGCTGTAGGCTGTGAATGGTGTAAGTGCTCAGATATCACGGTATTTTTCCACGTAAATCATATTTGGCAAACAGCTCAGAATCCATAGGAACACAATTTCAACCGTGGTTTACAGAGATTG